ATAATTTTCCTCCCTTTGAAGTGAATTGGAAAGGGCTATATAATTTTGGTATAGGCAAGATTCCCAGTTTGTTTCCGTTTGAGACCTGAAATAATAAAAACAAATTAAATTAGATGTAGTCATCTGTTGATCATGCTAATATAACGCAACGCGCATCCTTAATTCCTTACATGCACCGTAAAAAAAATTAAATAACTGCTCAGCAAGTAGCATTTATTCGCAGTACTAATTTAAAAAATCTATAACTGTAAATAGATATATTTAATTTACCTACCATTGTATCCTTCGGAAACCAGGTGCACAACAATTAAACTCCAGGATAAAAAATAATTAACAGTCTATACAAAACACAAATTGTTCCACCATTTTAAAAAAATAAATTGTCTAAAACAGAATACTGGCAAAAAATCTGAAGGAATTTAATTTTACAATAATTCGACAAATCAAAACGAAATCAAACCGTAAAATCACAACAAAAGCGTCTCTGATGTCTCGTGACAGTTAAAAATCAAATTTTATTATTGTCAGATATTGACATTTGCATTATTAATATTGACAGTTTTAATATTTTGCGCCTCTGCATCTTGGAGGAAAAACTATTTTTAATGAACTGTCATTTCCATTTAAATTTCCCAGCCATGTTCACTGTTATCAGCTGTTATATTTCACTCTATTGAAAATATGGGCACCATATTCCTTCAGCTAGGAAGTAGAATATTGATTTATTATTAAGTGGTCGTGGACAAAATAAATAATTGAATTAGTAATTTATGAATAAAGCTTAATGATTTCTATAAAATGGTGTGGCTTTGAAGTTATAACACACTAGTGTGTTATAACTTTCAAAACTCACGCGTGTGTTATTATTTATTTTATACAGGGTGGCCCATCGAAAACGTTCCGCAAGGCATAACGACCAGGGTATTCTTTTTTTCAAAAAATCCAAAAACACGTCAATTTTGTTTGCGAGGGGGACAACTTTTGCTCCAAAAATGATTGAAAAATCTTCAGCCCTCTAAGCGGGGGTGTCATCCCCCAACTTTTTTTAAATGGGAAGGAGGGTCAAGTGGCGTTGCAATAAAAAGAGCTTTCTATTCTCTATATTTCCCCGCCTCGTTTTTGAAAATCGGTCGAGTCATTGAGAAAATATGAAGGATTGAAATTTGAAAAGTTTATTTAAACATTTTTCAGAGTAAATGATAAAGATAAATTCCTTCGACCAATTTGAGGTTTTTTCTTATTATTTCTAGATGTTTACGCATTTTTTCACTTGTCACAAGGTTGAACGATCAGGTGCGGTAGTTGCTAGATAGCTGTTCTCTGACTTGAGCGTTGAAGTTCTTCTCAATATCGTTAAACTGACTCACAATAGAATTTCCAAAAATACCAGCCCACACGTCCAATTTCTGAGGGTTTTGTGTGTGCACCTCGTGAAAAACTCTGGGGTTGTCCTCAGTCCAGCACCGACAGTTGTGCCGATTAACTACACTATTCAAAAAGAAAGTACACTTATACGAAAAACACACATTAATAGGAAATTATTATCATTCGCCACTCGTTCACTCATAGTTTCACAAAATTGCAGGCGATGATGAAAATCGTCTTCGTTGAGTTCTTGTACCAACTGAATTTTGTACGGGTGGAACTTGTGTTTTTTTAATATCCTTTGGACACTTGTACGATTCACGCCGGTCTCATTGGTTAAGTTTCTTGTACTCAGCGTACTATCCATGGCAACTTATCCCAATGCGAATACCTCCATAGCTTCATTTACTACAGGATTTTTCCTCTGCCGTTTTTTATTCATAACGGAACCAGTTTCGCGAAATGATGCTACTAACTCTACTAAGTTCGATTATTTCTACTTTTTCTGCAAGTGAGTACACCATAATTGTTAAAAAGTTTAACGATATTAAGAAGAACTTCAACGCATAAGTCACAGAACAGTTATCTAGCAACTACCGCACCTGATCGTTCAACCTTGTGGCAAGTGAAAAAATTCGTAAACATCTAGAAATAATAAGAAAAAACAGCAAATTGGTCGAAGGAATTTATCCTTATCATTTACTGTGATAAATGTTTAAATCAACTTTTTAAATTTCAATCCTTCATATTTTTTCAAAGACTCGATCGATTTTCAAAAACGAAGCCGGAAAGTATAGAGAATAGAAAGCCCTTTTCATTGCGGTACCACTTGACCCCCCTTCCCATTTGAAAAAAATTGGGGGATGACACCCCCGCTTAGAGGGTTGAAGATTTTTCAACCATTATTGGGACAAAAGTTGTCCCCCTCACAAACAAAATTGACGTGTTTTTGAATTTTCTGAAAAAAAAATTACCCTGGCCGTTATGCCTTGCGGAACGTTTTCGATGGGCCACCCTGTATGCAAGTATACATGTGAGTAATGTCTGTATAAGAGGTGGCTGTTGGATAAAAATATTTTTAGGTACGGTTTTATTATCAACTTTATATTTCCATTTAGTCCGCCACTGACCAAAAATTCAGTTAATACCTGCCGAAATTTGCAGAATAATCCTTCAACAATACAGAATAAGGGTCAAAGTATCGCCATTTGTCAATAACGCGATCGATCAAAAACACTTAACAACAAAAACCCGATTGATCTCGCACGGTGACATTAAAAAATCGAGTAACAATGAAGGTAGGCTGCGTAATGAGCGCAAGAAAAAATAATTAAACTATTGTTAAATACCCGTTTAGTCGTGAGATAAGCGAAAGTCGATTTCAGCGAACTTTTAATACTATGTAAAGTTTGAAAGAATAAATGGTTTTATCTCAGTCGTATCGATAATTGATATAGTCAAAAGCGAATGAAATAAGTCCGATAACGATCAAGATAATATACGTTGATATAGCGTATAATATCTATAAGACAGCTTATAAAACGCTGTTGAAACAATTTTATAATTCGATTATTTTCATAAAGGAAAATCTGATTTAAATTGACAGACATGACCCTGTCTATGGATATTGTATGCAATTTTTTTTGATATTTAAAAGCGCAATGCAATCAAATGCATTTATTATAAACTTATCATGCTAACAAAAAAATCACCTAAATCACCTTAACTATGTTTTTTCCTGATCACGCTTTATTAGCCGATCATACCAACAGGTATGGTAGGCTATTAAGATCGGCAAAAAAAAAGTTTTTTTAATTTCACTCAAAATGAGTTATTTGGGTCATAAATGACCTAAATACAAAATATTTTCATGGTTTCTGTCTGTCTGTCTGTCCCTCTGTCCCTCTGTAACACGATAACTCAAAAACCGCTAAACCGATTTTAACCAAATTTGGCACAAAATACTGTGGCACCCGAGAATCTGGCTATTAGTTTTTGGTGGGAGTGGGGGGTTGGTAAGGTGGTATGGGAGGGGGTTAAAAATTTCAAAAAATCGTAACTCCAAAATTACCGTAGCTATAACGCGGTTTTCAATTTAAGATTAGGAATAATATTTGCAACAAAATTTGTAATAACATCAAAATTAGTCAAAGTCGCAGTTTTTGAGATATTCCGTGTTTCCGTAATCCGTTTTTGAGAAAATCCGTGTGGAGACCTCCAAACTCACATCGGACGCGACACCAGGTGACGGAAAGGGAAAATATCCGAGAACCAAAATTGGAAAAATTCCTTTATTTTGAAACTAAAAGAACTGCCTACCAACTTTTTATTAACATATTTTAGTATGGGCGGCTGTACGTGCCTTCCGGCGCCAATTTTTTTTTCTCTGGAGTACGAACTAAAGCAGACCTGTTTTGATTCCTCATTAACTTTTGATTTTTAAATGACACCCTCGGTATTTTTTTACTTTATTCGATAGAAAATTACTATGAATAGAATGACGTACCGTATGTCAACTTTTGACATTCTGGCTTAAAATATGGTATTTTAAATTTCAATCTACAGTGCCATGGTTGTGTTAAAAACATTAATGTTTAATCAAGGAGCCTTGGAAAATAAATTTGTCTAACGTTTTAGATTTGTTTTTCATTAGTTCATTCGCATATTTGGAAAAGGCATTTTTTTACGAATAACCTGATACCACACACTTTGTATTTCGAGTCAAATTGTCGTAACATGTATGGCCATAGCACTCTAAGTTAAAATTTAAAATGGTATTTGTTAAGGAAACTTAATATTTTATATAAAATTATTTTCTTTTATGTAATTTCTTAGATTAAGATTAATTATTTTAATTTCTTTAAATTTTAAATTGCCGCACTTATACCTGCTTCCTGCAACATCAGTGTACGCATGCCCGAACACTAGGAAGTGTGGCACACAGTCTATTACAAACCGTCGTACGACGAAATTGGTCAGCTAACCGATACGCGCCGAAAGTCTGAACTTAAAAGTTAAATCCCTTCAAAGACGATTCATGTTAGTGTATGTGTGAAAATTAGCGCTGAGAAGATCAAGATCGAGAAGAGGGCCCTCTGAAGCTGTCTGAGACGACCATTAAAGGTAGAAGCAGGTTTCTCATTTCTCTGTGCGGTTTCTCCCAGCTATTAACGTAATTTACATTGATAAAATAAGACCAGTCAAACTAAAATTTAAAATTAATACAGTCCACAACTTCATTTCTGCACATTTTTGGTCCTTCGAGCCGGATTTTATTTTATAATTCTTTTTAATATATCAGTTTTCAATTTTGCGATTTAAAATCCATACATTCCACAGATACCAAGCCTTATAGTTTTTTGGTTCATTTTTTGTACGAGCGCGCAGCGATACAAATACGCACCAATTTACTTGGTCGGGTAAATTCTGAGCGACGTAGAATTGTACTATCGTATTGTACTGTCACAATTGTACTTAGTACATTTTTTTTTGATAGTTTCACATTTGTTTATAAACAATATTTTTTACTGATATTAATTCTTGCAGTTTTATCTGAACTCAATTATTATTATTTTAGTTTTAATATTATAATTTCATTTATTCAAAATCAGATATAATATTAAAATATTTTCACTATGTCAGATAAAATTTCTAAGTATGATTTAAAACGAACAACAGCGTTTAACCGTTTAAAAGAAACTTATGACATTGGTGTTGCAATATCTAGTGACAACTCTCAAAAATCGATATTTTTAGCTAGAGTAGAGACTATTGACAAGGTGTATGAAGATTTTATGACTTATCACAATCAAATTATTTCTCTCATATCAGACGAAGATTTTAAAAAATATGATGCTTTACGTATATCAGCTGACAACGCATTCTACGGATCTAAAGCTATAAAATATCAAATTGTAGGTGACAATTCTTTGACAAATAATTCGACCAATGTTTCCACTCCTAAAATTACTGCAAAATTACCGAAAATTACTCTTCCTATATTTGAAGGCGATTTCAAAAGTTGGTCTGGATTTTTTGATCTTTTTAATACTTTAATACATGAAAATTCACAATTGTCAAATGTAGAAAAGTTCCAATATTTACTAACGTCATTGGGTAAAGAACCTCTATCTGTAATTAAAGGACTTCCAGTCACTGAAAATAATTATACAGTTGCTTATACTGCTATTAAAAATCGATATCAAAATAAAAGATTGTTGGCTACTTATCATTATAATGAAATCTGTCAAGCTGGACAGGTCAGAAAAGGAACTTGTACTGAACTTAGAAACCTTTTAAATATTTTTTCCGAAAATATTTCTGCGCTACGCGTTTTGCAATTTCCTGTTACTCATTGGGATTTTCTCTTATTTAATATGTTATTGCAAAAATTAAATGTTTCTATTAGGACTGATTTTGAAGTTCAAAATACTGTCGAAATTCCGACATATTCAGATTTAACACATTTTTTGGAAAATAAATGTAAAGCCTTAGAGTCAGTTCAGTTTACTACTTCATACAATAATGAACATTATAAGGATAAGAGCAAACAATCGTATCAATCCTCTAGTTTTTCATCTAATAAAAAATCTTCAGAAATTAAAACTGGTTATCCAGCCTTTATGACAACAAGTAATAACAATGCCACACCATATCAATCTAATAAGGGGGACAAACTGAAATGTGTACTGTGTTCATCTTCACATGCATTATACAGATGTTTTTCCTTTCTTTCAAAAACACCGCAGGACCGGTTAAACTTTGCTAAACAACACAATTTATGTACAAATTGTTTGTTATCTTCCCATTCTGTACGAAAATGCAATTCTTTTTTAAATGTAAAATTTGTGGATCTCCTCATCACACATTATTGCATCTGGATAAAGCTATAGATAGTTCTTCATCTAATACTCCAGTCAATTCAAATTTCAATCACACTGATGACCGTGCAATCCTAGAGTCAACTCCTGGCCCTTCTGTCAGTGCTATGGCGAGCACGTTATCTACTAAACAATCTACGGTTTTATTATCTACAGCCATTGTCGACATCAAAGATATTCGGGGAAACTTTCAACAAATTCGAATTCTCTTTGACTCCGCTAGCATGGCTAACTTTATTACAGAAAAATGTGTAAATCGTCTTGGATTACCACGTAAACGCTTTTCTATTCCCATTGAAGGACTTAATGGAATGTCAGCGCAAACAAATCAGGGCGTCACACATTGTACGATTAAACCATTAATGATTCTAATCCTCTATTCTCTTTTGATAGTATCATTTTACCGAAAATTTGTTCTGACCAACCTAAGATAAATATAAATCCTTTGTCTTGGACACATATCCAGAATCTTAAATTAGCTGATTATTCATTTCATAAACCAGGTCCTATTGACCTTTTAGTTGGTGCTGAATTGGTACCTCATATTCTACGTTCGGGACGGGTTTTAGGTGAACCGGGTCAACCTGTTGCTTTAGAAACAATTTTCGGATATATTCTTCAAGGTATGGCAGTTTCTGACCATGTACCGTTACATAATTCAACTTTGCTAAGCTGCCATACTTCTATTGAAAGTAACTTAGATATTCAGCTTCAAAAATTTTGGGAAGTTGAGGAAATTCCTAAAATTTCTAGCCTGTCTACTGAGGATGTCCAGTGTGAGGAAATTTATAGATCGCTAACTTATAGAGATCAGTCTGGCAGATTCTGTGTACCTCTTCCGTTTAAAATACCGAATCCATTCTTCCGTAATACATGTTATCAAGCTCGTCGACTATTTACATCACTAGAGTTCCGGCTTGCTAAAAATCCAGAGCTTCGTAAAGCTTACTGTGAGTTTATGCAGGATTATCTCAACAATGGACATATGGTATTGATCCCTCCGGAAGACTATAACTCTCCTACAGCTTACTACATACCTCATCATTCTGTTATAAAAAATGAGATATCTGGACCTAAGCTTAGGGTGGTTTTTAATGCTAGTTTTCGAGACACGAATGGAACATCTCTCAATGATTCTTTATTTATAGGACCTAAGTTACAACAGGATATTGCTTCTATTCTTTTAACTTTTAGATTTCATCTATATGTTTTTATTTGTGACATTAAGCAAATGTATAGACAAATTCTTATTCAACCACAATTTCAAAACTTTCAAAGAATCATATGGCGTTTTTCTTCAGATGAACCAATTCAAGAATACAAACTGCTCACAGTGACATACGGGGTATCGTCTGCTCCATATTTAGCTCTTCGAACACTGCAAGAACTTGCTAATCAGGGAGAGTCTCATTTTCCTTTAGCTGCAAAGGCAATAAAGAAAAATATTTATATAGATGACGCAATTTGTGGTGCAAAGATCTAAATTCTGCTCTAAGTTTGCAACACGAACTTGTTGATCTTATGCGTACTGGGGGGTTCGAATTGAGAAAATGGGCAAGTAATCAACCTGATTTGTTAAGCCATATTCCTCCTTCTGATGTACAAATGTCTTGTAGCTTTGACAAAGAAGAACCGTCGTTCATTAAAGTTTTAGGTCTAAAATGGTGTCCAAAATCTGACGAGTTTACCTATTCTTTTAATCCAGTTGATCGCCAATGTACTAAACGGAATATACTTTCCGAAATTAGTAGAATATATGACCCTATTGGTTTTATTTCCCCAGTTATTCTATTAGCAAAATGTCTTCTACAAAAACTCTGGGAATCTAATATATCTTGGGATGAAACTCCTTCTACAGATATATTGCAGGTCTGGAATAGGTATAAATCCGAACTATCCCAACTAGCTGGAATTAGAATACCTCGACGTGTAATTTCTGATAATATTTCTTGTATGGAACTGCACGGTTTCTGTGATGCTTCCCAAACTGGTTACGCAGCCGTCATATATTTTCGGACTATCAATGATAGTGGTCAAGTCAGTACCTTTTTGGTCACTGCTAAGTGTAAAGTGGCTTCATTAAAAATTGTTTCATTGCCTCGTCTAGAGCTCTGTGCAGCTGTTTTATTGGCGGATTTGCTTACTTTTGTTACTACTACTTACGCAGATTATCTCTGTTTTAATTCCATATATGCATGGTCTGATTCGACGGTCGTTTTAGCCTGGTTAGCTGCCAGTCCTCATAAATGGAAAACTTTTGTAGCTAACAGAGTAGTCATATCCAAGGCAAAGTTTTCTTCGATTTCACAAGTTTTCTTCGATACGTAAAATGCAAAGAGTTTTAGCCTATGTTTTAAGATTTTTCCTTAAATCTAAAGATTCACTGCAAAGTAAAACCTCTTTTATTTCATCTTCTGAAATGCATAAATCATTGATTTATACTATTCGACATGTTCAACGAAAGACCTTTTCAGACATTATAGATAAAAATTCTATCAAATGCTTTACTGCCTAAACCTTTTCGGAAACTTGCGCCTTTCTTGGACTCGTAAGGTCTTGTCAGGGTGGGTGGCAGACTTAATAATAGCAACTTCACGTACGATGTAAAACACCCTATATTATTGCCTAAATCACACCGACTTACTGATTTGATTATTGAGTGGATTCATCAAGCAAACCTTCACCCAGTTTTAAAGATATTGCACTGTTTAATCCTTCAACAATTTTGGATACTATCTCCACGAAGTTCTATTTACAAATGTTTAAATCGATGTATTGGTTGCTTTCGCTGTAAACCTAAATCATACAATCCTTATATGGCTGATTTGCCATCGTTACGTATTTCACAATTGAAGGCTTTTTCGTCCATTTGTATTGATTTTGCAGGTCCCTTTTCTCTAACAATGCATCGATACAGAAAAGCCAAGATCTATAAGGGATATGTTTGTGTTTTTGTATGCTCAGCTACCAAAGCAATACATCTTGAAGCTACTTCAGACCTTACTTCTGAGGCTTTTTTGGCCGCTTTTAAGCGTTTTGTTTCGCGTCGTGGCAGATGTTCTTTTATTTCTAGTGATCAAGGTACTAATTTCAAAGGTGCCAGCAACCAAATGCTTCAATTCGCCCAGGTTGCGGCTCAAGTTTTATCCATTACTTGGAAATTTAATCCACCCGGCAGTCCTCACTTTAATGGCCTGGCCGAAGCCGGTGTAAAATCTATGAAATCTCATTTATATCGAACAATCGGCTCTCAGATTTTGACATATGAAGAATTCTCCACTATTCTAACCCAAATTGAAGCAGTGCTGAATTCTCGGCCATTATCGGTTATAAGTGCCGATCCCAATGATTTACAACCATTAACTCCCGGTCACTTTCTGACCTTAGAACCTTTAACAATTGGTTTTCCAGAATCTGATCTGACCTCTATCCCTCTTAATAGATTGTCAAGATGGCAACTAATTCAACGTATGCATACTGATTTTTGGAAACGTTGGTCTCAGGAGTATGTACATTTAATGCAAGAACGGCATAAATGGACCGAACCTACTCCTGAAATAAAATTGAATTCATTAGTTCTGATCAAACATGAAACAAAATCTCCGTTATCTTGGAAATTGGGTAGAGTCATAAAGCTTCATCCCGGAAAAGACAATATTGTTCGTGTAGTTACACTTAAAACTGCACATGGGATATTACAAAGACCAGTTGTCAAAATTTGCCCTTTACCTGGCAACTAATAAGGTAAAATAATTCTTTATACATTTTTTTATTCTTAACTTTGCATTATTTTTTTTTCTTTATCTTATTTTTAAAAACATATGTTTTGGTGGGTGGAATGTTGGGCCCTCTGAAGCTGTCTGAGACGACCATTAAAGGTAGGAGCAGGTTTCTCATTTCTCTGTGCGGTTTCTCCCAGCTATTAACGTAATTTACATTGATAAAATAAGACCAGTCAAACTAAAATTTAAAATTAATACAGTCCACAACTGCATTTCTGCACAGTATTTTTTATTGAAAATGTCATAAGTTGACATATGCTATGTCAGTCTATTCAGAATATCATTTTCTATCAAATTAAGTAAAAAAATACGATAATAAGGGTGTCATTATTTAAAAATTGTAGTCATTTCCGGTGAAACAGGCAGTGACCGAAAATAATTGAATGCGTCAATCAATCCTAATTTGTGTCATTTACTAACATACCAAATCTCGTTTTTTTATCTGAAAAAATAGAAAGTTATAGGGGTGAGCCACTTTTGAGACGCACCCGGTATAGCTAAATATAGACAAAAGTCGTAAGATCAAATCAGCTACGAATCCAGCAAAATCAAATATTAACTAAAAAAATATTAACTAACTATAAATTAACAAAACCTTAGTAGATAACTATTATGCAGTATTTACAAATTATTTAATAAAGGTTTTATTTGTTTCTTCTTTGTTTTCTTCTTTTTTGTTTCTGTTTAATTTCTAATATGCAGGGTGAATCTTAGATAATGCAAATATTTTAGGGGTAATAGACTAGTATTTTATATTTCGTAAACTATAAGACATAGGTATACGATAGTATAATAGAAAAATTATGAGATATGAAAATAGTTTCCAAAAATGTAATAATATAAAACGTGTTCCCCCCACTTAAAATGACAAAGAAGCTACTAGTTTTCAATGGATGCGGCAACACTGTCTCGATGAAAATAATTTAGATTGATAGAACAGGTGCCTTAAAAATCCAAATTTAAAAAAAAATCTTATAACCGGTTCTCCAGAAACGTGTAACATACCGTCGCCATGATCCAACCTGAATAATATAATACATTAAAAATAGAGCAGTATAAGTAGTAGATGGAGATGAAGATGGAGAGATGTTTTTTTTTCTTCTTACTTAAGGTAAAACAGAAAAAGAAATGATATTTCTTATGTAGAGATTTACCAACCTCAAAAATATTAACACCTATATTACAGTTGGAAGTTGGAACCTTTGGTGTTACAACAGCAAAATAAAACCACTAAATTACCACAACACACGTTTTCAGAAGCAAATGATTATTATGATTAATAATCATTTAAGACTATCCACCTATGTAAGACTTATCCTGTATATTTTCCTTTCTACAAAATAAAAATGAAATATGAATAATTAATTATAGAATGAACGAAATGCTGAAACTCTTAATTTTAAATAAAGGTAAACCAATTAATGATTTTTTAATAAGATTACGATTAATTTTACAAAATAAAATGCAACGTCAAGTATCGAATTAAAAATTGCAAGGTCGCTAGAACAAAGATCAAAAAAACCTTCCTAAACTACTAAAATAGTCGTAATTCTCCCGAGAAATCCCGTCATAATTATTGTCAATTGAAAAGTATCGTCAAAAATTCTATATCATTTAGGTTCATTATTTTCGCTTTTTTCGAGACAAGACGAGTTGGGAACAACAAACAATAAAACCAATTAAAATGTCCTTTTAAAACATAGACTTCCTGCGAAAATCCCATTACCGCCAGACGACAATGAACTGGCTTTTTCCCGCTGCTACCTGAAATAATCCTATATTCATCATATACCGGGTGGTGCATCTTCGTTGGAGAGATAGAAAATGCTATGCAAATATGGGACTGTGTAATTATTGTCTCCCCTATTGGTTTTACAGCTAAGTCATAATAGTTATTTTTGTATCTAGTGTGCGAAGTGCTACTTTGGTGATCGACACTTGAATTGTTTAACGAGGCGTAGCCGAGTTGAAAAAATAGCCGAGATCACCAAAGTAGTTCGCGCACGAGTTGCAAACAACATTTTTTCTACAAACATTAAAATAGGTATATCCCTAAGAATTACTATTATTGTATTATTGCTTCGAAAAAAAAGCGTGAGCTTGGAATGTAGGTATGTTTTTTTTTATTACTGAACATCGTCATCGATTTCCTTTTAGGTCGTTTTAATATTTGGTATTTCTGGTGCTTGCCGCCGCCGCCGTGAGGAACTTACTAAAATGACGGTCGATAACATAAAAGATAAAGATTCAATTTTTTTGATTGTTAAAGTACCCGATACAAAAACAAACATAGACCGAGTCTTTACAGTGTCAAATTTGAATTATATTGAGATTTACCGAAAATACGCAGCTCTTCTTCAAGAAATGCTACCAATCGTTTGAAAGTTATTGAAGGTTAAGTTTCAACTTCAAATCGTATATGATAACTTCCACAATTATTTTTTTTGTCACCAAAAAATAGCTCAAAAACATAAATATGATATTTTAAATAATCTATACTAATAGCCTTGTCTAATATATAAAATCCTTAAGTGACTGACATACTGATTAATCACGATCCTGCTCAAACCACTCAACGTAAGAAGCTCAATTTCGGCATACAGGTTGATTCTAGGATGTAGAGGTTCGATAAGAAGGGATTTTTCGAAATTCCAGTTCCAAGAGGGTGAAACCACCCCTCAAATATTACAATATTTTTTATTTAAAAAACGGTCAAGTTTCCGAAAAAAACGCTTAAACACCTATATTTTATTTTGTTTTTTTACATATTTTAAGATTTTTTAAAAATGTATACAAGGTGTTTCGAAAAAGCTGGTCATTGATTAATCACGATCCTGCTTAAAGCGCTTGACGTAAAAAGGTGATTTTTGGAAAACGGATTGACTTTAGGGTATAGAGGTTAGATAAGAAGGGATTTTTCGAAACTCGAATTCTAAGGGGGTGAAACCACCCCTCAAATATTAGAATATTTTCTATTTAAAAACCGGTGAGTTTTTCGGAAAAACTCTTAAACACGTATATTTTATTTTGTTGTTTTACATATTTTAAGATTTTTTAAAAATTTATACAGGGTGTGTCATAAAATATGACCATTGAGTAATCACGATTCTGCTTAAACTGATTGACGTTTAAAGCTGATTTTTGGCAAACGGATTGACTGTGGGGTGTAGAGGTTCGATAAGGAAGGGTTTCTCGAATCTCAAATTCCAAGAGGGTGAAAACGCCCCTCAAATATTACAATATTTGTTATTTAAAAAACGGTAAGTCTTTCGGGAAAACGCTTGGACACGCATAATTTATTTTGTTTTTTTACATAATATTATGAAATTTTTTAAAAAATCATACAGGGTGTTCCGAAAAGTTGGGTAATTGATTAACCACGATTCTGCTTAAACTGCTTGACGTAAAAGCTTATTTTTGGCAAACAGATTTTTCGAAAGTCAAATTCCAACAAGATGAAACTACCCCTCAAATATTACCAAGTTATAGTATAATAATATCGCTATATTGTTTTTTCTCATGCTGACATAAATGTGAGAAAATTTTATCCAGTTTGTTTGTTAATGGAAAATCTTGCTTTGCTTTATCATCACCATTAAAAATGATTAATTCGATGCGAACGAAGTCGCGGGTACACGCTAGTTAATAATAAAATATAAAAAAAAATATGAAATAAATTATAAGAAATCGTGGACGTTCTCATATACGATTTGAAGTTGAACTCTAGCCCCAATAACTTTCAAACGTGTCGATTAAATGAAAATTTATATCAGACCTTTTTTGAAGACAGACGTTCAGTTTCCTACAAGAATATGTATTGATTATTACTAAACGTTGATTTGTTAAGGTTAGAACGCAATAGAATTCCATAAACAAAAAAAATTGTTTCCTGTGTTATTTAAATGGAAAATAGAAAATCACGATGAGACACCTCTTAATATTAATATTAAGAGCTCAAACTCAGAGCTCAAACTGTACCAGATTTTTTTCATCATCCTAACGATTTTTTATGAACAGTTTTTATATTTTTTTCAAAGCAAATGTTAAAATTTTATATTATATCAATAAAAATCTTAAATGCCTTATATCTATCCAAATCAAAAATATAGTCTGTCCAACGAGAAGATCCTTGACAGTGATAGATGTGTCTGTCATTTAAATTTCAAAATAGTTTATTTTATTTTACAAAGATATAAGTTGGTACAACTGGAACGCATCGCATAGCAGAAAATTAATATATTTAAAATTTGACTGACAAGTGATTACTTCAAAATATTGTGAAAAAAACTGTATAAAACTGAAAAAATGTAATCGAGTTATTTTATTTAATAAAAAAAACGGTATGTGTATGTTAATAAAAAAAGGTACCTATGTAATACAAAACAAACAAGACACCACATACCAAAAAAATATAAAAAAGAACTATTTCTTACTTTCAAGCTTTATGAAACTTCCCGCATTTATGATTATATTTATCAATATAACTTATGTACAAATACATATTTTTAATATTCCACAGTAATAAATAAAACAACATAAATAAAACATACGATTTCATTAATAATTACATTACCAAATTTTATACCTTAAAGGTTGATTAATTAACTTTAATCTTAATTTTTTTTTAAACCAGTACCTTTTGACATTAGTTCTCTGCAGTCAATCCATTATTTACCTATCATGTGATATCGATATTTTACAGCTACTCCAGTTTTTAGTATGTGTTTAGTATGGTCCTCCTACCATATTCGAGATGCACTTATCTACGACGAGATGGTATACGAACTTTATTGATGGTAACTTCATTGGGGTGTATAAGACTTTCTGCCTGGGCAGCGAGTATTAACCATAAACTGTGCTCTGGGTCTACAGTTAATTTTCACTCGATTTTTCCTCCACTTGACTTCAAAAGACACAAAACACACGTAATAACACGAATCAAAATGCATCATCTGGTT